CCTCTACTTTGTACTATATTACTAAAGGTAATACATGCTTATTTTTATAATACAAGCATTCTTATTTTACGATGGCGCATTGTTTATGTGATACTATTTTTTATTTTGCATAGTACATTTATTTTTGGTTTGTGCATTCTTGTATTCATATTCAGTGTACCACATCACACATGCCGGACCCAGCCATGTTTGAGTCAGTCGTGCGTTAAATACATTTTCAAGAGGGGAAAGGGGACTAAACTGCCCGACACAGGGGTGGGGCTTGACCTTGTATGTCTGAGAAGGGGTTTGGGAGGAGGTGCCCCTTCTCAAATGTGATTTCTTTTTAACTGGGGACCTCTGGATGGCCGGATGTGGCTCACGACTGTAAGATACGGTACCTGTTTTGGCTAATATAGGCCTATTTTTTAAATTTTTCCCCCATGGGGGAAAGACCCTGATCCCCACCCCCGCAAGTGCTTGTCGTACATATTTAGATTTTAAAAGAACAAAAGATGAATCTTACCGTAGTTTTTATAATGTGTTACAGATATATAGGTACAAATTTTCAGTCACACTCTATTATCAAAGTTATTGGTCCTGACAACCTGTTTCAACATTTTATCATTGACTATACAGCATTAACCCCTCCATTTGCCTTTCAGTCAGTGTAGTTTACAGACTTATTTGCCATGATTGAACTGCATCCAAATTCCGCTCTTTTCTTAGCAGCAAAGAAGCTACTAGACTACTAGTACTACTACTGTTTAACAGATGCCAGAAAAGAACTGTAAATTGATTTAATGAATGATATTGATGTAGTAGGCCTAAATGTAAATAAATGAATAATGTACAATATTAAACTAGGCCTACTGTACAGATTAGTAGATTCCAGAATTTATGTAATTGCATGGTATTAATTTACATTATGTAAATAAAAATGAAAGGAAGCGGAAGTTAACTGTGTGTTTGATCATTGAATGTAAAGTATTTGATATTATGAGTAGTTGAGTATTGCCTGCAACGCGATGTGCGTTGTATTTGCAGGCGGCCAAATGTTCCCGACAAAATCTCCTGCGCCTTTCATTAAGGAATGGGAAATTACTGGCAATGAGAGTACAGCGCATGTTATTTATAGAATGGCCGGGGGAGTTGAAGTGGTCAGCTACAGGGAAACCCTTACTGTGATTGCGGATGGATTGTTTGTGATTGTTGAATCTGAGTCTGAATTTGTTGCCATTCTCACCAATGTACGATCCTTTGTCGCAAATGTCGCAAGTGATGAGATAGGCCTATACTACGTTGGATGCATCGCATGTTAATGGAGGGGGCGAATAGGGAGGTTAGAATGGGGGAGTTTGGTGGCATTTGCAGATGAGGCATCGGGAATATTGCCAGGTGATAGCGGCAGTCTGGTTATGCGTGACGAAGTCAAAATAAATTTAAGATTCGGGGGTTGTCGATTGGCGAGTAGAGGAGGGCTGTCAAATGAGTGTTCGATGGACTTGTCGACTTTAAGTATGGTGTAGTCATTACGGATGTTTTTGGATAAGGAGTGAGTGTTAGTATGGAAGTCCTGGCCAGTGGGATGCGTTGGGAGTCGGATTTAGTGGTCGGAGAGAGGAGATCCTGTCGGGAACGGAGGGATCGCTCTAGTAAACTGTGATTTAACTAGGCTAAAGGGGTATCCATGATTAAGGAGGTAATCAAGAAGTTTATTGCAATGAAAAGTGTAGTCATCTGGCTCAGAACAAATCCTCTTTATGCTTAGAAACTGACTGTAGGCAATAGATGATTTAAGGCGTAGAGGATGGGTACTGTCGAAATTGAGAAATGAATGGGTGTCAGTAGGTTTAGTGTAAAGGGAGGTTGAGATGCGATGGTTGGAAAGAGAAACTAAAACATCTAAAAAGGGGAGAGAAGATTGGGACTGCTCTAGTAGTGAATTCAATGTGTGGGTGAAAGTTGTTGAAGCGCTCAAAGTTTTCAACTCCATGTTGCCAAATCATAAAAATATCATCGATGTATCTACAATAGAATAAGGGTGTAAGTTTCAAGAACAGACATGAAAAAGTTGGCGTAACTTGGTGCCATTTTGGTATCCATGGCGGTGCCCTTAACTTCGTTAAAAGTGAGTTGTGAGTGAGGATAAAATTAGTAATAGTAATAATGTCATTGATGTGTTCCGGGGTAAATCCGTGTTTGGGAAGAAAGGTTTTGAGAGACTGGAGGCCGTCAGAATGGGGGATGTTAGTGTACAATGACGACACGTCCATAGTAACTAAAATGGCATCAGCGGGGAGGGCAGGGATATAACTGAGTAAATTAAGGAAATAGGTCGTATCCTTTACGTAACTGGGGATGGAGGGTACAGTGGGTTGAATAAGGGAGTCAATAAAACCGGATAGGGATTCGGTTAGAGTGCCAATAGAGGATACGATAGGTTTACCAGGGGGTGTGAAGTTGTGGGTTTTGACTAAGTCAAACAATCTAGACTTATCGGAAGTAGTTTAGGTACGGTAGTTTATGTAATTTAGGAATAGTATAAAATATACCTGATCGAGGATTACTAGGAATTAAACCTAAAGCAATGTCCTTAGTATGATCAAATAAGTTAATACACATATCAACAAGTTCTTTTTGAAAACGTTCTGTATGGTTTTATCTAGTTGTTGGTAAAACTCGTCGTTGGAGAGCTGGCAGTTGGCTTCTGCAATGTAATCCAATGCGTTCAGTATGGTAGTGGCACCCAGTGGCGTATCCAAGGGAGGGGGAGCACGCCCCCCCCCCACCCAGTCGCTCCCCCATTCGCAAACTTCGAAGCAAAAAAAATTAGGCTAGGCTTATGCTCAAGAAAATGGGTTAATGCTTTCTCAACTTCCCTTTATTGACGTTCATCAAAATACAGTGACATCATGGTCAAATTGTACAAAAAGAAATTAAACAAGACATGAAAAATGTAATAAAATAAATATTAAAACACACATACGAAAGGAGACAAGGAGGCCGACTTGACATCTACTGGACGTTAAAACTAACGTGGAGAATATTCAGTTATTTTAAGAGCTTTCAACAAGATCTATAGAACAGACATTGTGTTAATTGTTCAATTATATATTATGTATAACCATATTATGTGTTTATTCGTCCTTCAGAATTGTTGATGTAAGCCTATTTAAAGTAAAACTATCTATTGTTAAAACAATCCGGTAATTTTAATTAAGGCAAGAAATCGTAATCGACAATAAAAGTTTCGTTTTGTTTATTATGGTATCATCTCACTTCTTAAATACTGCGTTCAAGAGATATACTTTAACATATCTGTCACGGTTAACGTGTATTCGGGAATCTAAGAAGCAATATTTCTCGGTGGGCGTGGCCACCGAAAATAAATTCTACGCCCCTCATATTTTGGTCGCGCCCCCCCCCCATTTTAATACTGCTAGATACGCCACTGGTGGCACCGCCTTTGTCTGCTTGTTTAATTATAATTTCTTGATTCGTTTTGAGTTGTTTTATTGCATTTCGCTCGGCAATAGATATGTTGTCCTTGTAATGTGTTCGTAAATGAACGTGTTGAGGTGGTTCTTTGCTGCATTTACGAAGGAGTCAATATAAGGATTTCTGCCCGCAGGTGGTGTCCAGGGGTCTCGAGTGAGGTTAGGTGTTTTGTATGGCTGCACGTGATGTGTGTTGATGCCGCCCTGATTTATGCAGTTTACAAATGAAAAAAAAAATAATAAAAAAAAAAAAGTTTGAACAAAAACACCTTAAGTCTAATCTATCTGGAAGTCGTGGGTTGGATTTTTTTCGCAGAGTATTTGGGGACGTAGGCCTACTGAGTATTCGGAACGAACACACACCAGGTAGGGCAACGCATTACTGTCACGATATTTTCCTGACGCAAACTCGCATAGAAATGACAATTGCATTACCCGCTTCTACTTTGGAATCGGATTCAACAGTAGGAACTTAGTGGAAGCTTGGTCGTCTAGTGGTTATGGCGCCATGCTAGTTATCTGTAGGTCGTGGGTTTGATTCCCAACCGTATCATTTGCGAATTTGAAGTATTTGGGGACGTACTGAGTACGGTATAGACATCTTCGGAACAAACACACGACAGGTAGGGCATATCATTACTATGATATTTTTAACATCGAAAAGGCATTTGCAGTACCCGTTGCTATTTGGGGAGATCTGATTCAACATAGTGTTCGATTATCTTTACACAAAAACGTGTATCTTTACCGCTCGGCTACATTTCACCTGATATCTATAGCCAGTAATATTATACCCCGTAATACAACAACAACCAGCGGATACAAAATGACGCGGTGAGGGTTTTTAATCTCAGATTATCTTGTTATTTGTGCATGTTGTATATATATATTTTTTTCATATTTCATTATTTATCACATTTTCCTTTTTTCCAATTTGGACAGCAGTTAAAAAACAGTATAAAATTTGCATCTTATTTCTCCAATCCATTTGTCAAACGAGGCCTAACATATGCCTCAAGTAGCAAGCCCATCATTCGGACCATGGTCGGACTTACACGCAGTGCTTCAAGTCCACTGGCCAGAAATTAAACAAGGTCGATGCGCTCGAGTCGATCCGCGGTCGATTCGCTCGAGTCAGCCTGGCCTAGCCAAATGACTCAGTCGAACGATCCGCTCGAGTTAGCTCAGTTTACGAAAAAAAATTATATAAAAATATATAACGTTCTAAATTCTACATCTTGCTTCTGATGAGCACCAAAATCGAGGAGGACCTAGATAATGTAATATTGTCAATGTTTGAGGTTAAACGGTCCATTAATTGTTGAGGTGTGCTCCCGGAAAGACAAACATATCACAGACAGACAGCCCGACCAACACACAGACAGACAGATGGAGCTCTTTGCAACAGGACAACTAGCATCAATAATAATAATAATAAATAATAGCAACAAAACAACAACAACAACAGTAGTAGTCATCATCACCAGCGTCATCATTATTATTATTACTACTCGTATTATAATACTTATAGTACTTACTGTACTATACTAGTAATAGTATTACAATAGTAGTATTAAACGAAACTATATAAAAGCTTGCAAAAGGATAAAAACCAAACTGAACCATACAATAACAAATTTCTTTATCTTAAAATACCTGGCCTGGGATTTTTAGATTTAAGACAAATTTAAGCTGATTTATTTATTTTTTTTATAAATAAGCTTGATAAATCCACCACCCACCCCGAAAATGTAAATTTTTGTTTTTATTTTTTTTAATCGTAATCGTCATCATTTTGAAAAAATAAGCTTTTATCAATTAATACATTTTTAATTTTTTCATAAATATGGGGAAGGGGGGGGGTGGAGGATATAGTGAAAATGAGAGCCCCCTGACCATTTTCAGGGATCACGGTTTTTCTTGTGAATTAAGATATAAATATAAAAAATTGAACAGGGGGACCTCCATAAAAAGGGAGGAACATATTTTTCTGGCGGCCATTTTTTTTAAATCGCCGCCAAAATTCAGATATTGGCTTTACTTTTACATAGCTTTACTTTATTCTTATATGTAAGTATATGATATTGAGGCAAATGAATGCAATGAAACATGTTTCAAAAACCTAGAATGGCCGCCATTTTGAAATTCAAGATGGTCGCTGTAAAAATGAACAAAAAATCGAATATCGAATTATATTTTATTAGTCACTTTTAATCCAATACCACTGGCACCAACTACTAAATGGAAAACCCTCACAGAATATCGTTAAAGTTAAATACCTACTTTTATTGTACAAATTCACGGCGTATGTATTTTCATGATGTAATATAATAAACTCATACTTATTGCTGTTGGCTGACTGGTCGGATTCGCCGTCGTTTTCATTTCACCAAAATTCACACTTCATTTTGACTCCGCCCACTCAGAAAAATAACGTTTTCATGAGTAAGTTAATAAAAGCAATCAAACTAATGTACTGAATCGAACGTAAAAAAAGTGGACAGAGCTAAGTATGCAAATTATGACGTGTCAAGATTCCGTCGTGCTTTCGAAAAATCTTTATCGTCTAGAGGACGTATGTAAATGAGAAAAAAAAATGGGCCCAAGTTATGATATGATCATGGAAAAATTGTCTAAACTAATTCTTCCATGCTATGATTTATATCTTATCGAATCCGGCGGACAGATCAAGCTCAAGGTACACTGATAAGGTGTAATTTACTTTGTCAAGAACCTGCAGTATATCATTATTCACATTCAGTACAGCAGATCCGTGCTGGGTGCTTTTACTGACTGATAAGGACAAAATCAACTATTGTCTCTTAAAAACTTTACTAAAGTTGAAAAAACAACCTTCTCGATAACCTCAGATAAAAAACGTAGGTAACAGGTCGATAAATGACATTTGGGTGAGGATCAAAGATCTAATGCTGTTTTTGCGAGAGTGAAGTTATGGCGCAAATCCTTAAAGGTCTATAAATGACACTGTGATTAACTCAAATGACACTGGTCAACTATCCACTCATTGTGGATGTTCAACTGACACTGGATTTTCCAAATGAAACTGTGGATTTTACAAGTGACCACAGTGTAATTTGAGTTGACTACCTTGTAAAGCTAGCTTTCAGCGGCAACATACGTTCATACATGTAATATATTAAAAGACTTACCAGGTTCTATAAAACGTCCGTAGTTGCTACTGAAATTTTCCTAAATTATGGACGTACAGAAATATACCAAAATACTACGGAAATGTATCATTAAGTCTAGGCTATGACCCATAAATTTATAGCACAAAATAATTTGTCTCTTTCCAGAACAAATTATTTTATCCATCGGCATCAGTATCTTTGATTAACTGTCACTAGACTCACACTTAACTAGAATTTTCCGAGCAAAAAAATCGATTCAAGTACTAAGTGGGCTAGTGAAAAACAATGGCATTGTAGAAATTCCCAGACGATTTCAATATACCCCTAAAATGGGTCCCATTTACCTTAGGCTCACCGTTGTTGGGGCTAAGGTGAACATATTTTTAAAAAACAGATTCCCGGAAAGTGTTTTTAACAGAATGACATGCCCTCGTGCCTGCTTCCCCAGATCGGCCACTGGCCGTCGACGTCACCAATTTTAGAAAACGCATCCCTAATTTTTCAATGTTAAAAGGCAAAATACTATAAATAACAACAATGCTGTGGGCAACAAGCTTTCTCTTGAATAAACCTGCCTGTTTTTGAATTCAAAGTGTTTTTATTGTTTTGTTGTATCATAGCCCTCATGGGGCGGATCTGGGTTGACAATTAGAGAATTGTCACATTTTTTTACAACAATGCCAAAAACGTGGTCCGGGGTTCTTCCCCGGCAAATTTGTTATTACTAGATGACCAGAAGTGAGCTTACCCGACTTCTGAGATGTCTTTTAACTATTAAGTATTTCAAAATTCAAGGTTTCCCCTCTTTAAAACGGTCAGGTAGACTTTCTCATTCTTATTACAGTAAATATGTATATTTATGAGGGTATACGTACATAAAATAATTTTATATTTTGCATAGGCCTAGGTATTCTTTTTTTTTTTTTCATGAATCGATAAACCCCGGAGAGAATGGGGTCAAGAAAAATGTTGATAGATGGCGGGAAATGAGCTTTCCCGACATCTGAGGTGCCTTTTAATGATTTTTAATTTCTTCAAAGTTGAGGTCCCCAACCCCCAACACCCGCCCTTGAAAACGGTCAGGTAAACGTTTCCATTCTTACTACAGTTAAGTAAATACTAGTAGGCCTATTTTGTGTTTATATACAGTACACAAAAACAAATTGAGTCGTTGCATACGTATCTTTTTTTTATGAATCGATGGACCTCAAACGCAACGGGGGTCGGGGTCCTCCCCTGTGAAAAATATTGATTTCCAGATGGCGCGAAATGAGTTTTTCCCGACTTCTGAAGTGTCTTTTAATGACTTTAAGCTCTTCAGAATTCAAAGGTTTCACTTTTTGTAAACGGTCTGGTAAATTTTCAATTCTTATTACAGTAAAATAAGTCTATTACCG